TGATATGAAAAAATTATATGAAAAGTTCTACCTACTATTTTCCGAAAATAAATCAGGCTGTTCCCTTCCTTGTCACGATGCTGAGTCAGAGTCGTAAAGGTTAGAGTTTGATGCGATGTCAAAACCTAATCCACTAAAACATGGCCAGCTGTCTTCGCACGTGTCTCCCGGGAAACCCTAACCCCTCCACCTTCCTTCCAATTTCCACACTGGATTACACTTTTTTTTTTCCCTCTTTTCCGTTCCTTTAATCCAGAGTTGAAATTCCAGCAACACCAGATATAAAACCTTCACAACAGCAGCAACAACAACAACAACATCAACAACATCAACAACAACCAGAGTAATTCCTCTTCACCCTTTAAAAAAGAAAAAAAAAAGGGAAGAAACAGACGAAGCACCTCAAAACAATTTCCTTCCACCTAGACTTACACCTCACTCCTTCACACAACAACAGTACAGGTCTTCTTCCTCTCTCTCGACCCCACTAATTTTTTCACTCTGTTTTTTTTCTTTTATCAATTCCCATGTTCTGTTCTTTAATGAAGGCAGAAGTTGTTGGCTCTTTTTTTTTTGTATGTTTTTATTGTCTTAGCTGTTGGCATGTTTAAAATTCCTTCCTTTTAGTGTAGCTGCCTTTCTTGTTAGATTTTCTCTCCTGGGTACTCTTTTATTTTTCTATCTAATCCTATGATTTCATCATCTTTATTTAGTGGACAGATTTAGTTGGTAAAAATCAATGCTTTTTCCTATCATCTTTACTTAATTGGAGTTAGATGATGGTCGGTGTGTATTGTGAATTCTGAATAACTATCAAGATTGAATATCAAGGTTTTACTTCTATCATGGCATGTTACACCCTGCTGGGCTTTTGGGACAATAATTTGCCATTTGACTTGTGATAATTCATATCTCTCTTTCTGCTGCTGCCACAGGGTTTTGGGAATTTTATGACTTTGCTTTGTGAGTTGTTGCGTTTCTAGTGTGGAGTTATCTGATGATAAATATTCTAATGCTAAGATTATTATGCATTTATAATTCTTGGGATAGATGTTGATTCGGCAAAAATTTTATTTTTTGGATTTTTATTTGAGAACAACACATGAGAAATACAAAATTTATAGTGAAGATCTGAGTACTTAAATCTCCATTTTTTCTTTTTATTTTTTTAGGCCGTGGACCTAAATTTGATGGTAATATTTTCATCCAAGTGAATGTTTTATTATTCTCAACAACCACTTGGACTCTAGTTGTTTGAGTCTATTGTAACCTGTATTAGAAGATTCAACTGATTCAGTTAGAGGAATATATGCTTTAGTAATTCCAAGGAAGGTTTGATTGTTAAATTTTTATTTGGTACTAGATATTAATTTACTATATATCAACTTGTTTACTTTAAACATTTATCGACAATTTATTTATTTATTTTTACCTGGGAAGAAGGATGTGATTTCTAACAAATATAGATTTGATATGGTGTTTCCAGGTGCTTCTTAAATTCACATAGGATAAACCATATTTGATCATAAATTGTTGAAATTAAGGACCTCACTGCAGCAATAATGGAGGCAGAAGAACAGAATACACCTGCCAAGCCTTCCAAAGCAGCTGCTTCAGCTCAGGTTGGTTCTCCAACCTAAATGGAAAAAAAAAAAAAAATCCTTGTAATTCTCCTTAAAACTAACAAGCAAGTTGAGTTTGCTAATCTTTCTACTCTTTATGCACAGGAAATTCCCACAACCCCTCCGTATCCTGATTGGTCAAGCTCTATGCAGGTTTCCTTTATGCTAAATTCTGTTAGGTTTTGGCTTTCATAAATTATTTCAACAACTCAACTTGAATGTGAAAAATACACAGATGATTGTGACCTCAATCAGCATTTGTAAGAGCTTACAGGTCTTCTTCACTTTTTCAGGCTTATTATACTGCTGGAGCTACTCCAGCTCCCTTTTTTGCTTCAACTGTTCCTTCCCCAACTCCCCATCCCTATCTGTGGGGAAGCCAGGTGAATAAACTCCTTTGAGATTCATTCTGCAATATTATGTTATTCTAAATATTTTTTCAGAGACAGGTTATAAGTTATATTTTCTGTTTACAATATTTCAGCATCCTTTAATTCCACCTTATGGGACCCCAGTCCCATACCCAGCTATATATCCTCCAGGGGGAGTCTATGCCCACCCTAGCATGGCCATGGTAATTTTGGCTTTCATTTATTTTCATACTAAATTGTATGCTTGTTTTGAGTTCCAATCTAATACTGACATAGACAGTTCATTAATACCCCTACCTAGTGTTATAAACTTTCCTTTCAAATTTCTTTATAGACCCCAAGCCCAGCACAGACTAATGCAGATATTGAAGTGAAGAATACTGATGGAAAGGACCGAGGTTCAACAAAGAAATCCAAGGGAACTATGGGAGGCAAAGCTGGAGATGCTGCGAAGATGGCCTCAGGTTCTGGAAATGATGGTGCTTCCCAAAGGTGCAATAACCTTCATCTTGGTTTTCCATTTTTATGCACTAACTTGTTTTGAGCATTTAATTCTCTGAGTATAATTTGATTTGAGTTTTTTTTTACCCTGCCAATAGTGTGCATCATTTTCTTATTTTATTGCTTTATGAACAGTGGTGAAAGTGGTAGTGAGGGTACATCAGATGGAAGCGATGATAACACCAGTCAGCAGGTTTGTGTTTAATCAATAATGTTTAATTCAATTTAACAAAGCAGTCTACATGGAAATTTTAATTACCGGCTACAACCTGGTGTGGGCTTGATGTAGCATGTTATACTTATTAGAATGAATGCCATCTTTAACAAATACTTGTTCAAATGATTAACTATTCCTGTTTTCATTTTAGGATAAAAGGGGAAGAACTGATCAGAC